AGTCCTCCTCACCTGCCCTTAACACTTTCTGGTGTCTTCCACCTCCTCTTCTCATTCCCAGTTCTCTTCCCCTTCATCCCTTGGCTCCTCTTTGCTTCCTTTTCCACTGTCCATTTCCTTCAGTCTGTACTGATGCAGCTCCAAGACCAGGAACACCAAGGACAGCTGTGAGAACCTGGGAGAGAGGCGTGGAGCGGCTTCTCCCTCAGAGTCTGCAGAAGGGGACAAAATTGCTGTCACCTTTATTTCAGACCTCTAGAAAATGTGAGAACATTTTTTGTATAGTTTAGGCCTTGCAGCTTGTGAGAATTTGTTACAATGTCCATTGGAAACTGTTAAAAAAAAAAAAACCAACCTGAGACCATTTATATTAAACACTTATTTCCAAGAGCAGAGGGGATCTAGACCCTGGCAGCAGCCCATATCCAAGATGAGCAGAATGCCCTCCCCCAGGTGCAGGTTTTAATTATAAACAGAGAAAATGAAGTGACCTACAGAAACAACCCAATTGTTGCAGTTGGCCTTTGCCTTATGAGGTACCATGTAATGGTGAATTTGGATTATGGAGATATGGTCTGATAGGTTGTCAGCCTGTGATTGTCTAAAGCCCAACTGCTGTGAGTGATTGAGACTCAGATCCTTGGTTGACTCTGACAAAAATAGAGGAACTGCTAGCAGTACTTAAAATTTTTTTAAAATTCCAGAAAATTGAAACTAATTATTGTGACGAAAAAGCAGGTCAGTGGTATAGGGCGGTGCAGGAAGAATTGATTACAAAAGGGCATGAGGACGTGGATGTTCACCATCTTGATTGTGTGATGAGTTCATGGGGTAAGCCAATTGTACTCTTAAGTATGTGCACTTCATTGTAAGTCAACTATATTCCCAAATATGATAATAAAAGTAATAGTGTCAAATAAAAACCTGCAGATTTAAAATGTATACAGTTATTCTACAGTGCATTCCTCTGCTCTCTTCTTGGCTACCTCTGTCTTCTCTGTCATGTTTCCTCTTACTTACAGACAGGGTTATCTCTGTACTGTTCTAATCCCTCTTGGCCACATTCATCCCTACTCCTCAGAATAAACTAATAAACACAGCAAAACAAGTCAGAAAAAAAAATCTATCTCTGGTTGGTTTTTCCTTTGGTATTTTCTTCTCTAATTTTAGTTTCGAAATTCAAGTAGTCTACCCTCTAGCTCTATTTTCTCTGTCTAAATCTTGAACTTTTATTTCTTAACAAGTGAAATATATGCTAGTCAGCTCTTCCTTGCTATGACCAAGGTACCTGACAAAGACAACTTAGAGAAGAAAGGATTTATTTTGGCTCATGGTGTCAGAGGATTCAGTCCATGTCCAGCAGCTTTGTTGCTCTGGGCCTGAGGTGAGGCAGAACATCACAGTGGAATGGGTCGGTGGAGGAAAGCTGCCCAGCCCACAGCAGCTGAGGAGCAGAGAGGGTGAAAGGAACTGAGAGAAGATGAACCCTTCCAGGCACACCACTGGTGACCTGCTTCCTCTGCCTAGGTCCCATTTCCCAGTCAGTAGTCCATGCAGCCATGGATGGAATAATCCCCAGAGCTTTCATGGTTCAATGATTTACCCAAAGTCCACCTCTGAACACAGGAGACTTAGGGATATTCCAGGTCCAATACACAAGAAAATCATTGCCAGGCTAGTTCTGTTAGATCAAAGTGACCTCTTCACTGTACACCCAAGCCCGTCTCCCTTCCCATTATCAACTATCTTCCAGAGCCTGCCATCCTCTGTCATTTCAGGGCTCATGTCTCCCTGTGGCCATCTTCTTAGTTAATGATTCATCTACCTTCTTTGTCAACATGATGGACAACATAATCCACTCAATGCTGCCTCATTTCACAAGGTCAGAACTTTCACAAAATAAATAACAAGTTCCCAACCACAGTCCTCCCTCCCCAGAGCACATCCTTGTGACGAAAGCTGTGAGGAGTTTCCCGAGTCTGGCACCAGGCAGCTGAGGCACCACTGGGCAGGGCAGCTTTGGTCACCCTCCAGGATGGCACCCCCAGTGTCCCCCTCTGGTGATGTTCCTTTCCTTCTTAGATTCTCTCCCAGCACATCTCTGCTGTCTATGTCAGTGTCTCTTCCCTCTGACACCTTCACTGGTCAACTCTACCCTCCCTGGACCTCCCAGCAAGGGGCCCTTACAGACATGGTGCTCCTTCCCATTCTGTTTTCCTGTCTTCCAGAGATCCTTTTGTCAGGTTACCACTGGGAAGCTGTTGTAGAGGGAGGGGAACTTCATGGAGCAACACCTCCCACACTGCAGGAGGGAGGCTATTGTGCACCTAAGGGGCAGTCTGGCCCCAGGCTCCTGGGATGTGCATGCACTGTTCTCTGCTATTCTGCTGCTCTTCCTCAAGTTCCATCCAGGTTCCCTTCTGAGGATCCCCTTATGGTGGTTGTTCCAGTGTTATTGTGAGGAAACCAAAATTGAAGAAGCAAGCATCAAAATTTGGGGGCCATCTTCACCTCAATATACCCAGTGACCTTACTTTACAGATGAATGCACTGGGGTCCAGAGAGGCTAAGATTTATCCTTGGGTCCCCTATGTGATCAAGAGTGGAGAGAGCCTAGAGCCAGTTCCTCTGAATTGGAGGAATTTATTCATGATGCAGGAAATTGTTTTTGAGTCGTAATCTATGTGTTGTTGCATTGATGCAGGGTACAATGGTCAAAGAGATAGACAATGTATATTCCTTTGAACCTCATGGAATACACATTTTAGTGAGAAGAAACAGAAAAGGAAGGAACGAAGGAAGAAATAAGGAAAGGAGGAGTGATTAAATATTAAATTAATTACCGCCTCTGATTAGGATGTGAATGAATTTAAACTGAGTCTGTGATTGAGTATTGAATATTGAGCAGTTGCTGGCATAGGGCAAGTGAGCCCTCTACATGGATGGTGAGGAAACCCTTCTGAGGAGGCAACCTTAAGATGAGACATAAAAAAAATGAGAAGAAAACTAATTGATTGAAATGTCTGCATCTTATTGAATCCTCACAACAACCCTATATCATAGACAACATAACTGCAAACATATCAAAGAAGTTAAATCAGAAACCACAGTTTTGGCTAAAATTGGCTACAGGCTGATTCCTATCCATTGTATCAGAATTCTGTTATTTATAAACTTTATTATACCAGAAGCCCATTTGTGGTGGATGATGGTAATTGGCCCTGTCCTTCAGGTGAGAAGGCACACAAGGTTATGCTCTGACGGCACAAGGAGAAAGTGAAGAAGTAGACATTTCCTCAGATACTGAAATACCATAATTGTAACTTTTATTCCCTTGTCTCTGGTGATATCCACTCTTGAATCATGACTGCACCATGGACACAGATGGGCATACAAATCACTGAGTTTTGTTTCTGAAGGTGAAGCAAACTACAAGATGGGCAGGTATATGATGTGGCTCATGCCCTTTTATTGATGTATTTAATGTAAGTTTACAAATGTCTATGATCAAACTTTTCTGTGTCTCTGACAAATTCAGAAATCTTGCCTTCTCCATATCATGTACAGAGAGGAGTCTCTCAAGTTTAAAAGCCTATAATGAATAAGAAATAATTTTCTGTTTCTACTTCCAGTTTTAAGAGAAATTTATAGAAACTCCAGGGGGAAAAAAAAAAGGTAAGTCAAGAAACAGGAGGACTAAGTAGCTAAATGTCTCTGATGAAAGTATCTTCTAGAAGGCATAAGTGAATATTTGAACACCAGGTCATGCCAACGTGTTGATAGGGTGGTAGGTGGGAACCGTGAGGAGACAGAATGTGATACCATGTAAAGGCTAGGAGTCCTTCAGCACGTCAGGCAACTCTTTCAATAATAAAAGGGCTAGACTTCTCTGAGTATTTGTTAAGAAATAAGCCACCAGGGTAAATTATGTGGCCTTTTCGATCTTGTCTAGGAATTATCCTGTATTATCTGTGATACAGTCTGTCAGAGCCACGTGTGACAATCTCAGGTATAAACAGGAAAAATGGTTCTTCATGGTTGTTTTTGATACTCTTCTAAGTAATGGGGTGATGAAATTTTTATTTAAAAGTATTTTATTCAAGATAATAAAAATTAGTTTTTTTTTTCTTACATGCATCTGAAGAGTTCTAGGTCTACTATGGATTCTTTAGTGTTTTGTTTGTTTGCTTTGTTTTTTGTTGTTGTTTTGTTTTATTTATTTTTTTAAGAGATAGGGAAATAACGAAGAACAGAACAGAGCCATCCTCTGTTCCAGGTGACCTTTTGTCACAACTAAGCTAATACCACCTGGCACCTCCTCACTGTGGGCTTTGAGAACTCTTCACACATCTCTACACCTTCTGCCTGATTCTCTGTGTTCATTTAGTCACATCTACAAAATATATTTATTCTTGTTACTCAAATGCCTTGTGTGGACCTTGCTTGGATTTTAATGCAAAGAACCCAACTTTAAAGAAATCTTTATGGAACAACTGGAGACATCTAAATGCTAAATAGTTGCTGAATTTAAGGAATTCAAATGTGGGCATGGTAGGAGAATAGTGTGATTATATTTAGTAAAGACTCCTGACCTGTTAGACATAAATGCCAGCATATGCAAAGTGATATGGTGCCTGTCATTGGTTTCAAAATAATCCCATGTTAGTGGGAGAGAAGTGGGAAAGAATGCACCAGTTTCTTGTGGCTCCTATCACAGATTACTACAAACTGCATTATTTGATACAAAATCGGGGATCTTTTGACACCCCCAAATTAATCTACATGTGCTTTCAATTGAAAAAGCAAAGTAAAACCAAATAAAATTAACTGGAATTTTTTTWAAAAGAAAATAAAATGAAATAGCAAATCAAGTATGGATTCTCCCAGGGAAACTAATTTTCAGGTTGCTTAGAAAACATTTCAATTAAAAAAAAAAATCCTATGACAGCTATCTTGCCACACTTGTTTGTCTGTCTCTCTATTTCTGGCAGCCTGCTGCCTTTCTTGTCCTTTAAAGAGGAAACACCAGAAAAGTTGCTAGGTATTCTTTAAATCCCTGTTCTCAGAAGGGTCCTTTGACTCAAGAAAGAAAGGTAAGAATCTTGTTTTGTTTCTGGCTTTTTCAACTAAGCTAATACTACATGCTCAAAAACAAAACGAGGAGGAAACTAAAATATGCTTCTAAAAGTTCTCTTGACATTCCTTTCACTATTTAAAATTGGAGCAAATTAATTCTTAAAAGACCTTTTTTAACCTTAATTTGTTTCATTTTTCTACCCCAACTTATATATTTTAAATTATAGGACCTAGATATGACTATGAGCTTCACAGACAAAAACTATAAAATCTGTTTCTGTTCATGCATTTGTGTCTATATATGTTTATTTTATAAATGTGTGACTTTTTTCTATTACTGATTTATAAATGCTGTATCTTAATTAATTTAAGCAAATCAACTCAGCACTTATAATAAACAAAAATTATCCTCTTAAAATTCATATAGAGTAATTAATTCTGATCACTTTTGTTCATATGAGTTAATGAATCTTTGGTAAATAAAGCCAGTTTTGAAATACTTAGTAAAATAAAATAAAAATATGTTCACATTTGTCAGTATTTAAATATAATGGACATTTTTGCTTTGGTCTGCCAGTCAAACAGGTTATATTGCCTCTACTAGATGTAAGGCCATAAAACAGTTGCTACTTTGATATTTCTGATGCTTGTCTTGTCAGTGAGTTAAAGYTGTAAGGGCCAGCTGTTGGGCCTCCTAAAGCCCTGCACATATCTTATTTTGAACTATGTCTTCAGTTTTAAGCCTCTGGATTCTAAGGTCTAGTAGGCAGGTGGCCATGGTAAAATCTAGGGACATGTGTGTGTGTCTGAAACTCCTGGACCTCCAGCTACAAGGCAAAGCTAAACAAATAGGGCTTATTCTCCCTGGCTGGATTCTGCCTGCTGGCCATTATGTAAGGGGTCAGAGCCCACAGGCATTCACAGATGCTTGTCTTCTGTTCTAGGTTCTACACCCAGTGTGTAAATCAAAGGCCCCAGACCAGATGGGCCCTGTTTCATAGCTGCCCTGAGAGCCATATAGGTGCTTGGGACACCACCTAACTAGGGAGAAGGAGGGATTGGGAAGGATAATGTTGTCTGATGTCTCAGAGGCCTTGGTTAAGACAAGGTTAGCTAAAGCCAGGCATGGTGGTGCATGCCTATAATCACCTGGGGAGGCTGAGGCAGGAGGATTCAAGGCCAGTGTCAGCAACTTAGGGGGCCCTAAGCAACTGAGTGAGACCCTGTCTCAAAATAAAAAGGGCTGTGGTTATGGTTCAGTGGTTAAGTACCCTTGGGTTCACTTCCCTGTACAAAAAAAAAAAAAAATTAAGAGACAAGGCTGGATTGGGGTTGTGGCTCAGTGGTAGAGCACTTGTTTAGCACTGGGTTCTACTCTCAGTACCACATACAAAAAAATTAAGTTGAATTAAATTTTAAAAGGGCATTGACAAGTAAACAATATTAAAAAAAATAGACAAGGCTGGCCGAGTCAAGGTTAGCTTAGTTTTTGCTTTAAATAAATAAATAAATAAAACAGCAGCTAAGAACTGAAACAATAACTAGTCTTGTTCCTTACAAATGATTCGGACATAATTATTAAAATTAAGTAAATTAAATATGATATCAAAGTAATGAAATAAAAATATAAAAACCAACTATTTCACAATAATAGTTATATAATATATATCTACTAAAATAATTTAAAAAATCTTTTATTAACTTAGTCTTAAAGTTATACTATTTGACAGATATTTATAAAATGACTAAGTCATTTCTAAGAAAATTAAAATACAAAAACATTAATTATTAATTATAAAACTTGGTTCATATATTTTGACATCTTGTTTCTACATGGTAAAGGAATGTTAAATATATAAGTCTATTAATAATCATAAGAAATTGAGAAAACATATCTTTCTAGAAGTTATAAAATGGTAAATGCTGATACAGGACAACTCTCAGTGCTTCTTAGTTTTCACTAAAAATTAAGGTTGATAAAAATTTAAAAGTCTAAAAAACATACACAATTCTCTATGCAAAGAATACAAAAAATAAGTTGTTTGATAAACAATTATGAAAAGACAAAATATTTGCTTTTATTGAAAAGACAAAGTTTCTCCAAATTCAGAGATTTTAAGTAAATTTAGTAAAAGATATAAAACCCAGATGGAAAGAAACTAGTAAGTAGTGGGGARAGATGCAAAGAATGGTGTAAATATGAGGATATATTTTTGGTATARAAACTTAAAAAGAGAAAAAGAATTTTTTGTTGTTGTATGAGAAAGAATTTTGTGATAGAGTAAAATTTTTATCTGACAGTTGAATGACTAGATTGCTCCAGAATTTAAAAAATATGTATAATATAAAACTAAAGATTTAAGCAAGTCATGAATGGTTTGTAAAGGACAAATCTTATTAAAGTTGTATGTGATCAAGTTGGATTAAAGGAAACATTTTTGGGGGACAGATGAGTACGGGGGATTGAACTCAGGGGCACTCAACCACTGAGCCACATCCCCAGGGTAAGGTCCTTGCTTAGCATCTGGATGGCCATCATAAGTTACAGCTCCCATCTTAAGAAAAAGTTTCGCTTTCCCACCCAAGTGTGTCTCTGAGAAAGGCTCACCACTCCCTTATACCAACCCCACTCTTAACCACYACCTTTAGGACCTGCCAGGCTCTAATCCCTGAGCCTGCCCCATAAAAGTCATGGAACCCAAGCCTGTATTGTCTTTCTCCATCTACGGAGAGATGACCTTTATTTGTCAGCTCTGACAAATCAACTGTCGTGTGTATGTCTGCCTGGTCTCTGTCTTTCATTTCTTGCTCTCCTGTCTCCTGGTTCCTCGATTTCCTTTCACCCAGCCCTATTTTGTATTTTATTTAGAGACAGGTTTTCACTGAGTTGCTTAGCACCTGCCATTGCTGAGGCTGGCTTTGAACTCGTGATCCTCTTTACCACAGCCTCCTGAGCCACTGGAATTACAAATGCCACCAAACCTGGCCTAAAAGAAAACTTTTAATATTTTGGTCTAAAACTTAGGCATCCATACACTATCTTGAAAACAAAATTTAGTTCGCTATGTTTAAAGCAATAGGGTATTCTTGACATAGTGATCTATTCTTAGTAAAAACTTGCTAGAGGTTTAATGTTTAATTCTAAAATCTGCTTTTTAAAAAATTTTAACCATTTTTCGAACTTTGGCTTTTCCTGTTTTACAATATACATTTAAGCATGACTCACTCAACTCTTCAGTTGGCTCCCGGAAGCATATTATTTTTCCCCAGTTCTGACTTCTGCTGTTAGGGTCTGAAATTAAAAATGTTTAATTCTGACAGCCTAAAATAACTTTATTCTTTGCTTTTATTTTTTTCTTGGTGCATCCAGATTGTTCTATGTGATCAGACCATTTTGTGTGCTTTTCACTGTTTCTAAGAGTCACAAGTTTCTCTGCTCCAGAGACTAATTTGACTCCCAAGTGATCTAAATTGCTTCCCGGCAGGAGAATCAATCTCAATACAAACTTTTCTTTACCTTTTGATAATTAACCTAAAAGCACAGATTTTGTGTTTGTCAATATTTTTTTGTGATTTTTTTCGATGTGTTTATTAAGTTTTGATTACTTAAAAAAAACTGAGCCTTCAAAGAATTAAGATTTTTTTATCTACTTGTTTGAAAGTCTTGATCACTTTACAGATGGTTAAATCTGGTTTACAAATCATAGTGACTAAATAAATAGCTATTATTTCACAGTGACCTATGATTTCATTTTTATCAAGTGTTTTAAACCTTTAGTATACGACAAACTTCCCCAAATCAAATTCTAAAATTAAGTCTTTTGGGTCTCAAAAGAACTTTAAACATTCCAGAGACTCTTGGAAGGCTGAGAAAACATAAATAAGTTTTTTTGATTTGTTACATTACATGGAAAAATGGATGTTAAAAATGGTGTTTAACTTTCATTTGTTATGGGCCAAGCTATATGGGCAATGACCAAACAGACTCCATTTTGCCCTAAAACTTCACGTCATGTAAGAAATGCTTCTCCCAGGGAAAGTCTCACCTCTGTACCCATCACAGTTGCTTAGCATAGCATGTTTGGCAACACAAAATGGCAGTTCTTATACATTGTAAAAGTGTTCTCTTTTTGGTCCCAATTTTCTTGGACAATGTATCCTGTCAGAGATTGATTGTCTAGATGTTAGAAACCATTCTTTAATTTGTACACAAATAGGGAGATTTTGGCCCACTCTCTTTTATGTGTATGATTTCAGATCTCATGACATTTGTTTATGGTTTTGAATCATAGCAACAGCCACTTTTTAATGTGGTTTAATGTGGTTTTGGACTATAAAAGGTATACTCACACCCCAGGAGTGGGTGGAAGGGTGTAGACTTGCAGGCTACCCCTTGGCCCACCAGCTGGTGGATCCAGACAGCCAACTGGTGAATAAAATTTCTGTCTCCTGCTTTAAGATCGACTCAGTGATTTATTACAATCACGCCTTAATACTTTAAGTAATATTTGTATAACAGCATTATTAATATGTTTATTAATATTGTTTTATAGGTTTTCTTATTGGATAAAAGCCTTTCCTTATAGATGAGCTACTGCTATGGAAGTTAGTAAACTGCATCTAAAATGATAATCATTCCAAATTGGGAGATTATGCAGTCTTATAAAAGTCCTTATTTTGATGGAAAATCAAACAAATATCTGTAGAATCCGACAAATTCTAGAGCGTTTATGTTATAGAAACCCAACTGGTAAAATGTATACACTCTTACGCTACCATAGCCCAGAGCTCTTCCCATAATTGTGTCCAATTTAAGGCCTATTTCCATAGGAGAAACCATCTTTCTCCATTTAAAATCATGACAAAACCCTATGTACTTTGTCCTGTAGCCCTGCACTCTTAAATCACACATGGGGGAATTCATGCATATTGTCAAGAGCTCATCAAGGTTGTCAATAAAAATCCATTTGGGCTGGTGATGGAGCTCAGTTAAAGCATGTGCTTAGCATGCTCATGT